AATAAATTTGTATTGATCAAAATTGAAAGTCATACAACCGAGTCGACTTTTATGAGCGTAGTGGGTAACCACAAGTCGGTTCCTCACTCGCAAACACAAAAATAACGAGAACAATGTTCTCCTCCAACCAAGATTTTCTAAGTGCTCAAGCACTTGGCATCAACCATCCCCAAAAATTATCAAAATTTTATACTTCAACGTCTAGGCTTCTTCTCTCAAATTCGGCAAGAACACTCGGAAAAAGAGCAAAAATAGATCGGTAGACGTGGGTCTTTACCTTTCTAATCACAAGGCTTGGAGGTTGGGTTTCGCCCTAAAAAATCAATCGGTTTCGCGCATTCCAAATGAAGTAGACGGTGGCCGCAAGCGCCGCTTTTTTCAATTTGGCTCTCCAAGTCGTACCTTTCCCTTCTTTTTTAGTCCATTTGAGGGCACCTTTTAGAGTGGTTGACATGTGACGGAGGCTAACCCAAACTCGAATTGCACTCCATATCTCCGAGCTAAAGGGGCACTCGAAGAAGAGGTGGCTCGAGGATTCGTTCGCGGTACCACAAAGAGGGCATGTCGGGTCTTCATTTAGGAACTCCAGATGATCTTTTGTTTGGAGCCTACTCATCACACCAAGCCATAAAATGAAGAGATGCTTGGGGGTATTGCAACTCCCCCAAACAACCCCGACCCATGGCTTCTCAATACCCTTTAGTCGGAGAAAATCGTAACACTTGCTAGTACCGTCTTGCTTGTTGCGTAAACTCCAAACACGAAGGAGGGCTTCCGCACCGCGCTCGCTACCCGCCTTTTCAATCAAGCTTTGCCGGATTTCAAAGAGAGATTTAAAGAGAGGGGAGTCATTCTTGGAAACTTGCCAATCCCAAATAGTTTTCTCCTTCAAATAGATGTTGTGGATCCATTTGAACCATAGTGTATCCTTCTTAGCTTGCATATTCCAAAGAGTCCGCATGAGAAGGGCTCGGTTCCAAGCATCCAAGTTACGGAGCACCAATCCTCCCTCCGCTCGGGGTAGACACAAAGTATCCCATGCAACGGGGGCTTTTTTGGAGCCCCATAAGTACCTCCTACATAGTTGAATGATTTTTGTTCGGATAATGCCCGGCAAGTGGAAGATGCCCATCCAAAAGCAAGCAATGCCTTGAATGACCGATCGAATTAGTTCCAATCTACCGACATAGGAGAGAGAGTGGCTCCTCCACCCACTAAGTTGGATTTCAATTTGGTTGATCATATCATCAAATAGCCTCCCGGTAATCCGATCCGCGATGAGGGGGACTCTGAGATAACGGAACGGCATTGGCCCGATTAGCATGCTAGTATCATCAAGGATGGTCTCACGATCACGTTCTTTCACGCCGGCCAAGTAGATGTTGGATTTAAGCACATTCATTTCAAGCCCCGATTTCTCCCCAAAGTCTCTTAAGCATTCCATGAGCACTTTGATTGATCCCGAGTCACCCCGAGAGAGGAGCATGAGGTCATCGGCGAAGACTAAGTGAGAGATTTTTAGCTTCTCACACATTGGATGGAATTTAAAGTTCGGGTCCTCCGCCATATTGCAATTAATGAGCCTAGAGAGGTATTCCATGCAAAGAACGAAAAGGAAAGGAGAGAGGGGATCACCTTGCCTTAGTCCGCGAGCGCCTTTGAAATGGCCTTTGAGGCAACCGTTGATAGATAGGGAATACGTAGGAGTGATGACTCACTCCATGATCCACATGATGAAAGCCGGTGGAACTAAGCCCTCAAGCATTTGCCTCAAGAAGGCCCATGAGACGGAGTCAAATGCTTTGCGGAGGTCAATCTTGATTAAGCATCTCGGAGACACACTTTGCCTCAAATATTTCCGGAGCAATTGTTGCATGAGGTGGATATTGTCCGTCATATTCCTCCCTTTCACAAACGCGGCTTGGGCTTCATTATAATAAAATCAAGAACTTCACTAATTC